ACAAAGAATCTAAACAATTATCTTATGTCCCTGTAAAAATCTCTATATTACAGTTACATTGAAATAACATTAAAGTACTTTAGTGGGATGTTTATATGAAGACCTTTGTGTTTCGGCTTGTATGATGTCTGGCTCCTGTACTGAAGATAATTGTTTTCTGGGATTTAGCGCCGTTCAGTCTCGTTGAAATGAGCTGACGTTTTAGAGATACTTATTGCCTCCATCATAAGGTCAGTAAGCACATCTGCAAAGTCGGTTACCACTACACGGCGCAACATTAAGATATCCCAGATTACAGCGATCTTCTTACTCGAAAATCTAATATCTCAGACGGTTTTGTGTATAAAGTAGAAAGACGTTTCCAAATACCTTTTTACAATTTTCCAAATGAATAGTCGTATTGAAGACACCAAACCCGTGGTCCGAAAGTTAGATTAGCCTTTAACTATTGTCGGCGGTGCCCGTCATCACATATTTGTGGGGAAATGTCTAGAGGTGGAAAATGTGATTAGTCAGAATGAGACAAAAGCATCGCGAAGTTTTTATTGTTCATGGATCCGAGTGAAAGGTGATTTATGTCATAGAGCACAACGCTTCTCGCGCATTGATAAAGAAATAATTATTTAAACGTATTAGACACTACAAAGAGGCCTAAATACAATTATGTACAACCTACGGCACGCCCTCCACCTGCGACGTGACTATTTACACACCAGTATCTTTTCTGGGGGAATTTCACGTGTATTTGTGTTTGGTGACTATGACATCGGTCTTATGCCATCAGCTGGAGGCGTGCTGGATCGCTAGTATAGGAAGTTTACGTTTCGTTTACCCACGGTTTAATTAGCTTCATAACTATTGACATACTCGTGCATGCAAGTAGTTTAATTTTATTTATTTATATTGCATTGCAATTATGCATATGAATCCTCCTAAGTCAGCAGCAGAGTATTTATCAGTGAAGAGATTTTCTTTCGACAACTCAGATTTTAAAAAAAAATCCGTAATCGAGAGTTTTATAGTGACTATGTCTATGACTCGTATGTGTGAGTGCGTGAGCGTGAGC